GGCCTAATAGTGAATCAAAAACTTTTTTTGTTTTTGTGTCTGAGAATTGCACAACAACTGCCACTGATTCGTAGTGACGTCAGAACTCTCTAACTTTGATTTTTAAAATCGTTTACAACTTCAACTTGCTCAAAATGAGCAATAATGTATAATGCATACTTAATGCATAACATAAGCAGCCTTGGTGTTCTTCAATATTATTTCATTAGCGTTAGCGCTGTCTAGGAACATCTGTTTACAGCATTTAATCAAACTATCGGATTGCAAAAACAGTGTTTTATGTTCTACCATTACAGCCGTCAACAAGATTACTGTTTTTTTTCGAAGACTGGGTTTTATTTTTCGTAAATAACTTGTTGTTTTAAGTTTTGCGGTTACCGGTTTTATCTAACCATAAAGTTCACTGTGTATTATCTATTCTTCATAGAACACCTTCTGGTACCAGGTTTTAAGTTTTTTAGGCAGCAAAGTGGTCAGTGCCATACCTGAGGTTTATCTGCCATCGCACATTGGTTTGAAATAATCAAAAAGTGGCATTAATTCCAGATTTTTGAAAATCCGATATAAAAAGTTTTGATTTTTTAAGTTTGTTGCAAACTAGTTATATTTTCATATTCTAAAAGAATTTTTTTTTTATAGACCACTTTGTGCTTTCCTGTTTAAGGTAGTATTAAGAGATACTACTTTAAACAGGAAAGTTATTTTTATTTTATTATTTAAACCTCTCCTATGAACTTGCATTTAAAATATATATCAACCAAAAAGATATTAAATGTGCTTTCAGGATTTATTGTAAAATATTTTATAAAATTACATTTCATGCCGTAAAAATGCAGAGAAAGATAACTTTTTAGACAAGGAAATAATATCATGCTTCAATGTGACTTTCATTAAATTCTGTATGTTTCTCTAAAAATCTTTAAATTCAAAAAGTTTTTGTACTTGCCATTAAGCTATTTCACTTTATTGTACTTTTCTTTATTTTAATATAGCTACATGTGTTTTCCAGTTTAATCAGTTAATGTAGTAAGTCAGTACAAGTAAGCATAATAAATAAGTTGTTGAGCTCATTTGTACTTTAATACATTTATTACTTTTGTTCTTTTATAGTAGATATCTTGTATCACCTTTATAGTTGTTGTTTTTTTTCAGACTTGAAATCATGAGAAGATTTTGAAGAATATCGTTTCCAGCCTCCTGGCCCTCTATCCCAGAGGGCATTTTCACTTAAGCTTTTTTTTATTTATTATATTCCCAATAACTGTAATTTTCTTTGATCTTTAAAGGTGTGGGTTATCTAGAGTTTACTTCAACATGTTCTGCTATTTAATTAATTGCTGTGACGTTTTATGCTAATAGGCTTAGCTCACATTCATGTTGATTTGTCAGGGTTAAGGAAAATTAAACAGTAAGTTTCTTATCCGCTTATTCGCATTTTTGAGTTTTTAAAAAAATTAATTGATCGCATGACACGTTAATTTGTAATTAATGTGTATTATGTTTGAAGTAATTTTGTTCCATTTTTAGGACGAGTTCCTTTTCTTATGGCTGACTTGATTATGGCTAACCTAAAGCCTAATAATGATGAAACAATGTTTCAATTTAATTTTCTTTTTAAGTACTTTTGTTACTTTTTGTTAAATATAATATTTTTTTTAATTTTTCTCAAAGTTTAAATTTTTATTTTATCTCAAGAAATATATGTTTTTTGTTTCTTAAGTAAATATCCGTATTTTTTTATTTTTGGATTTGTTGTTTCAAATAGATATATATATCATTTTTGCGTTGTTTTTTATATTTCCGTTGTTTTTTATATAAATATTAATACGGCAGTGAATATTATTACTATTATTATTATTCAACTTTTCATGCACTTGTATGTGAGCAATCGGTAGAAATGACAGTAGAAGTTTCCAGTTTCATTGATATTTCAAATAGCTATCCATTAAACGGGTTTTTAGCTTATTTAGAAGACTTTAACAATTCAGAAAGAAATCAAATTATTTCTGCTGTCAATACAGATCAACACATCTCCTCCAATCCCTCTCTTATTTATCAATCACAATCATCATTAAAAAATTATTCAGCTTGCTCTACAACATCATTAACAAATATATCTATAGAAACTGAGAGTGGTACAGAGTGGTTAGTTGCAGAGTGGTTAGTTGCAGACTCATCCAACTGCAATAGACCTCAAATAACCAAAAGAAAGGTAACATTTTATTGTGCTAATTGTCTTTTTATTTCAGATACTTACAAAAATCATTTAAAATTACATGGTAATTGTGCTGCAGTGTTTTGTATTAATTGTTTTTCCAAGTTTAAAAGTTTATATGGTTATCAAAAGCACATTTCTAATTGTACTAAAGAAAATAATACTTTTGATGATAACACTGAACTTAATATAATAGTTGATCAAATAGTATATGATAATGTTGATGATTTAAATAATGATTATCTTGGTATTTTAGCTTTACATTTGCAGTCTAAGTACAGATGTTTTCAGACCGTTTTAGATGTTATATTTTCAACTTTAAAAGAGCTATTTACTGACCCAATTTATGATGTAAAAAACTAAATGATTCCTGTAAAAAATTATCATCGCAATATTCTCGTGAAAAATATTTTAAAAATGTATTTTCAATGCGTAGTATAAAGATTGTTGGTAAAGGATCAGTTGTTCCACTTATGACAATGCTAGAGTTTGTATTACAATTGTCTGAGATTAAAGAGTTTACGAAGGTATCAAATACACATCATCATATTCAATTAGCTATTTATGCAGATGATATTGGGATTACAAATCCAATTGGTAAAGCTCGTTAAAAACACAAACTTTGGGTTATGTACTTTCAAATTCTTAACATTCCTGGAAAGTATAGAGGTAGAACATCATCTATTTTCCCATTGGTTTTTATATTTAGTAGGCTTACTAAAAATTTGATTTATTTTTCTTCTTTACTTAAAGATTTTAATGAAGCGATACAATTATTATATACAGGTGTAAAAATAAGTATTGCTGGAAAGTTAATGACAGTTACAGCTGAAGTTTTATACCTTTCTGGGGATTCTTTAGGAGTAAATTCAATCGGAGGATTTAAAGAAGGATTTAGTCAAAAAAATGTTCGCTACTGTAGGCGGTGTAATTCTACACGGGCTTAAATGATTGAGTTTACAACACATGAAGAGCGTCTGATTCAAAATTTGCCTGAACATGTCATACATTTAAATGAATTGAATTCTGGGCTAAGTAAAACTGATAGAACAAAATGGTCAAGAAATTATGGTATTGTTAACTTTAGTATTTTATCAGATATTCCAAATTTCGATGTCACCAAGCAGTTGATTTTTGATCCAATGCATGATTTATTGGAAGAAGGTTGTTCCATTACATTTATTAGAATTATTTTTATTGTACTGTTTACCAGAAAAGTTTCCCTTAGCTGATCTTAACCAATGGCTTCAATCATATAAATCTCCTTCTGGTATTGACCTTGGTATTAAACCTTGTATTATTTTACCTTCACTTAAAATCCGAGGACAATTTGGTAGTGGACAAATATTAAGTCTCTCTCGTGTGCTGTTATTATTTATTAAGATTTATGGATTTATCTGATCCTCACCTTTCATGCTTAGTTAAACTTATACAAATAGTGCAGCTTTGTATGTCTCCGTTAGTAACTGATGTTTATATTAAGGACCTAAAGGCTTGTATTCAAGCACGTCATTGCAGTTTCCTTCAGTTATATTCAAGCAGTTTATTCCAAAACTACATTTTCTTGTACACTAACCATCACAAGCATCTCAATTTGGCTCATTGCGTGGGCATTTCTGTCTTGCATTTGAACGTAAACATCAAGTAATAAAAAATTTCAGACACTTCAATTTTAAAAACTTCCATATTCAGCTTGCAAAGCAATGATTGTAAATACAACTGGATTGTTTTTTGATTCTCTTGGTGAAAGACAATGTGATGTTTATGAAGAGGTTGATCAATTAAAGTTTAAGAATGGTTTGGTTTCAAGTGCAGTCATTAATGGAATATTTTATAAGCAAGGTGACATTGTTTCTGACACAAATGAAAATAAATTAGAATTCAATAAAATTCTTGAAATTTTCACAGAAAATGAAAAACATATTTTCAAAGCACAGAAGTTAATTATTAAAAGTTATTCTGCTTACATCACAGCTGAAATTTCATCTGGTATTAAATATATAGAACCAGACAGTCTTCTATTTCCTTGGTGTGTCCTTCAATTTTGCTCTGATGACACAAACAAAATACTTTTGTTTCCAACAGCAATACCCAACTTAAATTTTTTTTTAATATAAACATTATTTTTTTGTAGAACTGTCCTTTATAAATTTATGTAAAATAGTTATTAGTGATAAACAATTAATTGTATTATTATGATTTCAGTAATAATAATTCTTCAAGAATTACTTTTGCCCCATAATTATTAAAAATGTGCTTTTTGAGTTAAAAACAATAATATTTGTTTAAGGAGAATTTTATTACTCATTACAAACTTTGTAATTGTAATTATTTTGTATTCTTTAGATCTTAAAAGTACCACTTCCTGAAGTTGGAATTTGTAGCATTGAAAAATATTTTAATTTTTCATTGATTGAGTATTTGAATAAAAAAAAAAAAATTTCTATCAACAATATAAAAAAACAGTTAAAAACCTCCTTAATTAATTATTGCAGGGATTTTCTGCCTCAAAGCAATGATAAATGGGTAAGAAGAGAGTTTTTTACACGTTTGAAATCTTCAATGATAAGTCGATTTCCATTATGTATGGAGGACTGGGTGCGTCTATTTTATTAATTTAAATTCATGAATATAATATAATGCAGTTTATGTTTTCAATATTTTGTTAGCAACAAATTTTATTTTGCAGATGTTGCAACAAATTTTTTGTTGCACATGTTGCAATAAATTTTTTGTTGCAGATAATATTCCTAATTTTGTGTTTTTGAGAGTGTAGCAGTATTAAAAAAAAAAAAAAAAAATTTGAGATATGATATTATTTTCAGGATAAGCTTTTAGGTTTGATAGCTAATACATTAAGACAGCAAAATGGACTAAGTCAAACAAAGCCAGTCCAAAATTTGGACAACTTTCTAAATCCAAAAAATCATCTTCTTTGTTGGCGTTAGTAAATTCAGCTGAACCTGTTTTAAGTAAAGAACAGTTACTTTATGAAGTTGAGGTTTGTAAATAAATGGCTTTTAATTGTACAAATTTAAATTTTATATTGTAAAATAAGTATATATAATAAATCAATAGTGTTGTATTTATATGAAATATTTAATTTAATGTAAATTTATATAATTTTTTACTATTCTAGTATTTACATTTTTATTCATAATATATATTCTTTAACAGATTGAGCTGATGAAGAATAAGCCTTCAACGCAAATTTTGGCAATTATCTACATCTCTTCTTATAAGCGATTTTTGCAGGCTTTATCCCATGTTTGCAGGTTTCGAATGTAATTCTAAAGAGTTTTGCGATTTAGTTTTTTCCGATGGGTCGGTTTTTTGAAATTTAATAAAATTTCAAAGTGATGTTTCCTGTAAAAAGTCTTCTTCCAATGCTTTCAATGCAACTCAGGTAAATAATAACATTATTTTTTTAAAGAATACTCTGCAATACATATTTTTGATTCAAAAATTGTTTAACAGTCTGATAATCTGGATGAAATGCAGGGAGAATCGATACCTGGTCCACAAGTAGTATTCAATGAAACCCATTTTATGATTCGTAGCAAAAATGGATGTGAGCTGAAGAAAGCACCGATTTCATCAGACAGCGAAGTGTTTTGTTGCATCATTGCCATTTACTATCTTATGGACCTGACATATCCATCTAGTAATGCGCAAACACTAGGTGTTTTCCAGGAAATTATTTTGAAAGACACTTTCCTTTACAAGCCACATAAAGCAACCAACTATTTAAAAAAATTTGGTTTATTAAAGTGCTAATATATATATATATATATATATATGTATATATATATATATATATATATATATATATATATATATATATATATATATATATATATATATATATATATATATATATATATATATATATATATATATATATACATGAGTATGTGTATGTATAATATGTATATGCGTTTTTATATAAATACATGTTATATATATTATATTTATACATGTATATGTGTATATAAAATATGTATATGTGTATACATATGTTATATATATATATATTTATATATATATATATATATATATATATATATATATATATATATATATATATATATATATATATATATATATATATATATATATATATATATATATATATATATACATGAGTATGTGTATGTATAATATGTATATGCGTTTTTATATAAATACATGTTATATATATTATATTTATACATGTATATGTGTATATAAAATATGTATATGTGTATACATATGTTATATATATATATATTTATATATATATATATTATATATATATATATATATATATATATATATATATACATATATATATATATATATATATATATATATATATTTATATATATATATATTTATTTATTTATAGGTATATAGATTATACATATATTAATGTTTATATATATATATATATATATATATATATATATATATATATATACATATATATATATATATATATATATATTATATATATATATATATATATATATATATATATATATATATATGTATATATATATAAATATATATAAATATATATATATATATATATATATATATATATATATATATATATATATATATATATATATATATATATATATATATATATATATATAAATGTATATATTATTTATATACCTATTAAAAATTATCTATATACTTATAAATAAACATATATTTATGTATATATATATATATATATATATATATATATATATATATATATATATATATATATATATATATATAAATATATATAAATATATTTAATATATAATCTATATACTTATAAATAAATATGTATATATATATATATATATATATATATATATATATATATATATATATATATATATATATATATATAAATATATATACATATTTATATACATGTATTTATATTTTAGCTACAGCGCTTATTTCAAACCAAATATATCTTCAAATTATTTTTTACTTCTAATTTTTTAAGAACTTTTTTTTAACATGACGTTATTAACGAATACAGATTTAACATCAATATAACGACAAAGTTGAGTAACCTAATATCATTATAACATCAATATATCGTTATTATAACATTAAAATGATGTTATATTTGAAAATTATAACGTCATTTTTCAAGATATGACACCATTATAACAATAAATATTGTTGTTATATTGATAATATATCTTGAAAAATGATGTTATATTGTTCAGATATAACATCATTTTGATGTTAGAATGACGTTATATTGATGTTATATCTTGAAAACGGATGTTATATTTTTTAAATATAACATCATTTTGATGTTATAATGACGTTATATTGATGTTATAATGATGTTAGTTCGCGCAACTTTGTCGTTATCTTTTTTTTAAATATAACATTATATTTATTTAGTGTTATATGTGTATTTTCTCTAGAGAAAAATAATAAGGAATAAAAAATTAATAAAGTTTCTTTTAGAATTTGTCAAAAGTGTGTTGTGTTATGCAGGTATCTAAATATGTATTTATTAGAAATTTTTAATTTTGTTTTTAAATGGTTTCTGCTTTTTCATTACTTTAGATGAATATATACTCACTGACATAACTTCATTTTTATTAACAATGTTGTGCATTGTAGTCTGCATTCTTTGTTACATTAAAAATAATTGATGCTAATAAATGTTGTTTTATAGTTGTTAAAAGTTTGCAAATATGTTTCCATGTATATTATGCTCAAAGTTAAAAGTTTTTTTGATAAATACGTGTATGCGGTTATATATATGTTATATAGTTGTTTTATAAATGTGTTAATATAAATGTGTTTTTATGATAGTGTGAAATGTTTAACATCTAATTTGTGCATGATTTTTAAATGGGAATATTTTTATATGTTAAGTAACATTAAAAAAATATATTGTGTTTTATAATTAGTATATACATTTATATAATGTTGTTTCCATGATTTCAAAGTGGCGTGACTTGGCAAACGTGTAGAGCAAGATTTGTCAATCTTACCAATCAAGCGATGTTACTGCTTTAGGTCTAAGTGTTACCTAGCCTTTAATATAACTATTCTGAAAACACATAGCATTATCTTTAATAATTTTTTGCGCAATGTTGTTACCTTTGGCTTATCTTTAAGTTGGTGTCAGCTTTTAAAAATGTTTAACAGGTAGTTTCATCACTAAAACTCGCTGTTTTTATTTACTTACTAAAAGTCATTCAAGACATCATTTAGATATTTTTTTTAAATATCTACTCCAGTCAACATTTAAAGTTTAATGTTGCATATACCATTTTTAAGTAGCTTCTAAGCTTTTTTGATGCTTTTCTTACTCAAGTGGTTTTATAAGCAAGGTATGCAAGCAAAACTAAGCTGAAAGGTTTTTCAGTTTTCAAGGAGAATCAATGTTGTTCTCTGTTTAATTTAAATTGTTTAAATAGAGTAGATTTAATAATTAAATGTTTGTTTGTTCTTGGTTTTTTACTTATTTGTTTTCAGATTCTTAAGAACTAAGCAACTTAACAAAACAAGATTCGTTTTATTTTTTAGTGCAATTGGAAAGAGCTGAAGTGCTTTTAGTTACTTCAAATCAATGGTTTCTTTTTTTTAATAGAAAGGTTAATAATAAAAATTTCTAGACAGTCAAACTGTTACTGATTTAAGTAAGTTTAATATTTTGTTTTATTTTATATTATAATTTTTTTATATTATATATTTTATGGATTTAACATGGAAAACTGACTGTAATTTTTGACAGGTAAGTTTATATGCATAAATGTACCTATATATCAGTATATTTTATATTTCTCTGTATCTATATAATAATTATCTTAAAGAAAAAATTTAAAAGAATAGAAAATATTTGAATATATATACATACATTCATATATTACTTTGGACTAACATTGCTTCATTTTTTATTTTATGCCTGAAGGTAAAAACAACTTTGCATTTTAGTCTAAATTCTTTGCTAAATTTAAATAATGTAAACTAATTTTGTTTTATGTAAAATGTAGCGAAGAGATTTTTGTGATGGCATCCAGTATTCTCAAGATCAAACTAAAACAGCTGTAACTAAAACAGCTGCTGAAGTTGTTAGTAAACTTGAAAAAATATTTTTTTTATTTGGACCGCCGGTATGTCTTCTAATGGACAACGAATTTCGTTCCAACACGTTAACAAGCTTTCCTGAAGAATGGAATGTTAATTTTGAATATCGAGCAGCACATCGAGCTCAAGGTAATGGTATAGTTGAACGCATACGCAGGACGATAAAAAAAAACAGTTGCTCGCTCACATTGTTCAATCGCTCTGGCAGTCTTGCTGTACAACGAGACAATATCATCCAATTGTACTGAAAGTCCATCCGAGCAATTCAAGAAAAAACCAACTTGTTTCATCCCAGGTATCGATATTCAAAGGAAAACAGACGAGAAAGGCGTCAATATGAAATTCAAAGAGGAAGACACGGTGTGGGTAAAGCCAACTCAAGAAAAAAAATGTGACCAACCGTGGATACCAGGTGTAGTGCGAAAGCAAAATACTTTATCGTTTGACGTCGAATATGAAAATCGGGTATATCCGCGTCATATTTCACACCTGCGACGCCGTACAGACCTACAGAGTTCAAATGAATCAGTTAACGATGTTTTTTACAGACTAAAAGATAAAATCGATAACGCTAAAGAAAGATATCACGATGATGTTACTCAAATTCAAAATGATTCTCAAGTACATGTGCTGCAAGTAACACGCTCCGGACGAACTGTAAGGCCCCCACAAAGATTGGACTTGTGAGTTAATTCACCAAGAGGACGTATTCTCTTTTTTATGATGGTGAATTGTGCATGTTGAAAATCACGTAAAAACGTGTTGAAAGTCACGCATTATTTCAATTTTAATTAAAAGTACTCTCATAGGACTTTTTGTTTTTTTTTATATATAGAGACGATTTTTGTATAGAATTATGAGGTTAAAAGAAGCTATAAAATCATACGTTTTGTTCATTCAATTCATGGACGCGACAAACCAACAAAGTGACTTGAAATTGTTTTCATATGAAAGAGATAGATCCAGGCGTGATAAAATTAATTTTTGTTGAAATATAAGAGATTTTGCTTGTTGAACAGAAAACTTATTTGCCAGAATTCAGTATCAAGCGATGTTGATGTTTATTATTTTATTTTACATTAGACACTTTAAAATAAAGCAAAGTATGAATTTTACTATTTATATTTACAAATAATAAGTTTCAATTTTAAATCATTTTAATTTTTTTATTTTTTTTTTGAATCTTAATCATAATTGTGTTTAATTTTTTTAGTTGTCTTTGTCATCACTTGATTATTTTGCTTACTGTTGAAACATGGTTTTAATTTTGTAAATTTAATATGATGTGAAATTTACAATATTATTTATTTGCAAACAATTAGAGAGAAGCTGGAACTTAAGCAAGAAATGCTGGAAATTAACTTTTAGTTAAGGTAAAAATAATTTTGTTTATTGGTAGCATAATAAAACCAGTTACTTTTATTTATTGCATGACTTTTTTACTTTTTCTAACATGCTGCTTTTGAAACACTTCCTCTCTCTCTTAGATGAGACTTAAATAAGAATTAGTATTGAAAATTGTAGAGGGAGAATTAATTAAACTAATGTAATTACTGAGCTCTTGCGTATATTTTAATAATGCGATTGATAATGACCATTTATAAGATATATATACGAGTTGCTTGATATTTAAAGATAGTTCTTTAAATTTTCCCTTGGTTGTTTAAATATTGTAATAAACAAATTCTTTTTAGTTTCAAGTATTTTACTTAAGGGATCGTCTATATTATACGTTACGCAAAATTAAACATATAGACAAAAGAAATATCTCAAAAACCGTGTTTCTCTCATGGTCAACTATATGTTGCATGTTCAAGAACCAGAGCATTTAATAGTTTGTTTTTCAAAATTGATAAACATCTTATTCAAGGTAAAGTAGGTAAAAAAATGTTACATAAGTATTGAAAAATTTACTATTAAAGGTTGTGAGCACATTTTGTATGTATAACTTTATTTATCATTATTTTTTTTCATAGTTTTTGATAAATATATCTGTCATTCAATAGTTGTAAAATGTGTTTATATGTATTACATAAAGTCATATTTGTTTATAGTTGTATATATGTCTAAATTATATTGTTTCCATGTTTTCAAAGTGGTATGGCTTTGTGTTATGTTAAGCAAGTTTAATACCTTGCCAGCCAAGCGGTGTACTTATAGCAGAGGTGTGATTTGGCAGCATTAGTGTGATTTGACAGCAATAGAGGTGTGATTAGCAGCGTTTAGTTCCAGGTGGTGTTACTGTTTTAGAGCTAAATTGCGTTGTCTAACTTTTTTTTAATTATTCTGGAAATACATAATAATGTATGTTAATGTTTAGCGTTGTGTGTATGAGAGAGTATGCAACCTTAATTTTTTAAATCTAGAGTGCTTTAATGTCCTAAATTTAAAATAATTGAATAACTAATATTGAATATAAAAACAAATATACTTTATTAAAATTTAGTAAAAAGATAAATACAATTAATTTTTAATTGTTTTTTTAAGTTAGCATTTAATTTTGTCATATTTTAAATTAGTTTATTATTTTCATTTGATTTTATTGTTATGTATTACTATAATGTTATTGTTGTGATTTTTTGTGTTGATAAACAGCTTACCTTCATGTGGCGTCTATTGTTAAAAATGAATATAAGTTTCATTATTGGAACTTACTGCTTTTAATCATTTACTAAAAACCAAGACAGCAATTTAAATCTTAGTTTGATTTTTTTTTCAGTATTGTTAATGCTTTTGTACTTCGAAACAGATTTTATAATTTACAGTTTTGATAAATTTTTATATTAACTGCAATTTCAAAATAGGTTACTATAAATAGGTAAATCAATTTTAGGTAATTGTATGGTGGTTTTTTTTTTTTTTCTTTGTAATTATGATATCATAATTTCATTATTTTTATATTTTAGATTAACGTTATGACGCATTTATAAGATATATGAAGTAAAAAAATCTGATTTCTTTTTATTGTAAATTTTTGTTAGTTAAAAAGATATAAATATATGCTATTAGCTAATATTACATTTTATCTATTTTATCCCTAATAATTTGTTCTACGTATTTTAAGGGGATCTTTGTGAATGGGGGGTCGTAACTAAAAACCTTTAAAAACATGGAAATATTGTAGTTTTGCGCATTTAATATCGAATTACTTAACTTTTTTTATGTGTTTAACTAATTAGTTAGCTTAGTCTGTATTTGCAACACTTTTGAGGAAAGAAAGAAAACATTCTTAAATATTTAGATTTTATTATTTTGGTAAAAGGTCCTCATCAAAAACATGATTACTCTTAATAAAAAATGCTCTGCTCACCTGGCCACCGTTAAAGCAAAAAGAGGGCAGAAAACCACTTTTTTAGAGTCAAAATATTTAGGAAAACTAAATTACGAGTAATAAGAGGAATTTTTAGAAAATGATGGCAAATTACCGTTTACTAAAAATTAATGAAATAAAGAGGCTAAACCAAATAATATAGAAATGGTCTGTGTTGAACTGACTTAACAAGACCCGGGTTGGGTCAGCTTGGTTTACAAATTTTTATGTTTACTTATCTGTTATAATTTTTATTTTAGGTTTGTCATGTGATGCTTTAATGCATTAAGTTTACATATTTTTTCAAATTTGTTATACCCATGTTTGATTGTAAACTATTTTTTTTTTTTTTTTTGTTTCAAACGTATTTGTACTCAGTTGCTTAGTTATTTATAATAAACTTAGTTATTTTTAATAATTTTATTTAAATGAGTGAATTTAATATTTTTATATTAACAATTTTCTTTTCTAAAGAAAATTTATTCATGGGAATACCAAAAAATTGATAACTCATGTATAATATAAGTTAACTTCATTTTAATCTTAATGGTTCGTGTTATAAAAATTATTACAAGGATTTAGTTGATACTTTTGTCGATTTAAAGCATGATGAAGTGTTTTGTGTCAATTACTAAAAACGTATTGTGTTGAACTTAGAAAGGTCGATGAAAATGGTTCTGCCTTACACTGTTATAACCTTTGTCATTTGTAAATTACTCAAATAATGTTAAGTAGTAATTGTAAATGTTAAGTAGTAGTTGGTAAATTATTTTACCTCCTACTTTTTATGTTAATTTTACAGTTGGAATAATTTTTTCTAACTGAAGGCGTTTTTCTAAATGGGTGTTAGTTAAGGTTTTGCAACATTAAATTGTGGAAAACAGCCACTATAAATTAATTATGTAACAGACCGACCAAAACCCGTATTATGGGTTGCTTTTTGCTAGTATATATGAATAGAAACCATTTATAATTAAAATCATATTTTGTACTCGAAGTGTCCATTTACATTAAGTATCGATTAGCATAAACGACATGTTTAATAACTTCGGATATAAAAACAGCTTAATTGAATAAATTTGTTAACAGATTTTTTTTTACAGCAATGTTTTTATAAAAAGTATCAAACGGATAAAGCTAACTTATTTAAAATAACAAGTCTCCTATGCCCGTTTTCTAATGTCCAAATTTTTTTTTAAATAAATCTTGAGAAGAGGGTAAAATCTTGATTACAGCTTAAGTTTTAAAAACACCTGAAGAAATGTTACGCAACTGTCTCTACTATGTTAAAGATCCTTTTATGTATAAATTATTGGAGTACATCAACTAAATAACTACAGTTTCTAAAGTATATTAAGTCAATTGTTAATCAAAAACTTGAATTCGACTAATATTTTGCTTTTTAATTAAGGTATAGAGACCTAACTAAGAACAAGTTTGGAAATAGTCGTATGTGAAATAGAATCGCTGCGACCCGTATTGTACGGGTCACCACAGCTAATTCCGCAATTAAAACAGTATAATTGTGAATATATTTTAACAATTATATTAGTTTTTTATAATTATATAAATAATTTTAGAGTTTTTTTACCGAAACGCAGTCGGCACCGGATCTAAAAAAGACGTCTTTTTAAAGTTCAAAAGACGTCCAAATCGCGTACAAGACGTTTTAAACGTCTTTTTACGTCCGTGCCCACTGGAAAGGCTTTTATATAATATATCAAACAGATAAACATTTTTTTTTTTTTTTTTCTTCGCCGTTTGATAAAATTTACAATAAGAAAGATCGTACATATATAATATATAGCCAGAACAAGAAGAAGACGTATATTGTCTTATCGCCAAGCCCCGTTTACATTGTTGCCTTCAGTTTATGTAACAAGTTAAAATAATAAAATACAACACAATATATTACAAGTAGTAAATCGTATAATAAGATATATAAATAAACATTTTTTTTTAGTTATATAATATATATATATATATATATATATATATATATATATATATATATATATATATATATATATATATTATTTATAGACAAGACAAAAATAAGAGAGTCGTGATGACTTTTTTAGTTTAATTATTTTAGGTACTATTTTTAAAAGAAATTTTTAAAATCGAAGTTTTTTCCTAATAGAAAACGTTTAGATCCTTTTTTGAATTGTTCTAGGGAGAAGTTTAGAAGAGTTTTATTTTTAATAATATTTTTCAAAAAACTTTTCCATATAAATGGTCCACGGTATTGAATTTGAAATGAGCTGAGTTTTAAATTATGTCTTGGAATAACAAACATATAAACTGAAAATTTTGTGGGGCATTTATGAGTAATTTTAGTGAAGTAAGAGTGAAATATATTAGGAGACAAACCATGTTTTGATTTAAACATTAGAAGCATAACTTGGTAAATATTAATTTTATAAACATTAAGTGCATAAAGTTTGCTTAGAAGAGATTCACCATTAACAGTTATGTTAACGCCAAATATAATCCTTCATGCATGTTTTGGTTTGCTATAGATTTTTTTAAGTTTCCCATAATTAGTACTTCCCCATGCAATATTCCCCATGCAATTTGCTTTTTAAATAAATCCTTATAAGAAAGTTAAAATATTATCAAAGCCTAAGTTTTACGCAACTGTGTTAAATTCTAAAGATATTTTTATTATGTAGAAAATATTAAAGTAAATAAGTAATGATGTAGTATGTAAAAATACTAAATAGTTCTAAAGAATAGTAAATTAGAAACAAAGAACTCTTGGTAGTCGGTTAAATGCAAACTGTGTACTTTTTATCGAACAAAAACATTTTAATGACCACAACAGTCATAATATTATAAACATTTTCTCATCGATTTTATAAATTAAATATATTCATATTCGATATATTTTATTTAAATTAAACTTTTTTTTATAATTAATTATAATTTAACGAGCGATAGATTTAA